ACAGGCTGACTGCAGTACGTGACCTCTCGTTTGAGTTCCTCCTGGTACCTGGTAACAGGGCAGCAACACAGAGGAGCCCTGAGAAGGACCTGGGGAATCTACACACTAGCAAGCCTCAAGTCTGCAACTAGCCAGTTAGCAGAAGCTACAAGGACGAACAGGATTGGTGGACAGATTATTACGGCTTACTCCTTAAAATCCACATGATTGGAAGTCATGCTTCACAAATGGATGTAAGTTTTTAAAACAACTCAGCAAACACACTCAGGAAGCTGAGTTGATAAAACCTAACAAATTTCCAAAAGTCTCCTAAAGAGGCCACACAAGCATGAGACAAGAGGGAAGGTCCCTTGTTTGGATAAAAAATGATTAAGACAGAAACAAGGTTGTGGGAGGTTCCTCTGAGATTCCCACACGGAGATCTGTGCCGGTACCAGTGCTGATCAGTACAGTCAAAACCGGAAAAGCCGGTGAATGCTACGATACTTAAGTCCTTCAAGGTAGCAAATGGATGGCTGAAAACCTGCAGGATGACTTTCTGATAGCAAAGAACTAGAACAATTAACATGAGAGGTGAAATGGTGCGTAGAGGGGTCAAACAGAACAGAGCATCACAACGTCAGTAAATAAAACAATGGGCTCCAAGCAGCCTACTCCCCAGCAGGAAGAACTTGGGATTACGGCAGGAAATTGCCTGCAAATGCTGACTTAGTGCACAGCAGCAAAGAGCCAGCAAAATCCTAGGAATTGTTATTAGGAGAAGACAAAACAGGAAGCTTCTTCATGCCACTGTAGTAAATCCTTGGTGCATCTAAATATAGTATACTGCCTGTGGTTCTGGTTCCCAGACGGCAAAGGGATATAGCCGTAGCGGCGAGAGTCGGGAGAGACTGCACAGATGAGAAAAGTGCCTCTGTACAGAGAAAAGCAAACAGACCACGACTCCGCCGGCTGCAAAGACAGAGGCACTAAATGCCTACAAAATCATGAGAAGCAAGAGAAGTGAACCAGGGAATGGTTATCCACCATTTCTTACAGTACAGGAGTAAATGTCACGGAATGGAAGTAGCGAACGCCAGGTACAAAACCAGCAAGTAGAAATGGTTCTTTACACCTCCGTAAGCAAGCGACGGCATTCTTCCCAGCACAAAGCTGGTAATGTTAAAATCATCAGTTCAAGAGTGGTTCGAATAATTCAGGCAAGAAACGTTTATTAAGGGCATTAAAGACAGTTTCTGTCTCAAAGGACTGTCCTGAGCCTCAGCTTCTTGTATGCTTCTGATTACTATGTGCTTGTCCTCAGCTCATGCTTCTCCTTAGCCACCTTTTGCAGACCATCTTTTGTGACACCAGCCCAGCCAGGCATCTGTTTTTACCTAGTGTTCCCATTCCAACATGCTTATATCATGCCCTAACAGCCACAGACCAATAAGCAGAAAGTTCATTACCAGGTGAAGCCCACACTGCGTAGCAGAAGGTAGTCACGGGTCTCATGCTGCAGTGCCTTCCACAGAGCACGTGGTCAAGGAGCTGTTCTTTTCACTTCAAAAGGATAGCTGATTTTTAAAACATCATTTCTGACCATCTTTCTCTTTAGGAGCCTTTGAAAGAATATGCCGCTACATCGCCAAAAAATGCAACGCAGTGGTTGTGTCTGTTGGGTAAGTGTGACTTTTCTGTAAAAGTATTTAGGGTAACGCAGTTCACAGTTGAAGGAATTCTGCAAAACGTGCCAAAAATATTTACCGTTTTGCACTGCGCTCCCTAATTTTTGCTTTAGCCTTTCATTTAATTTAGAAATGTTCTTATAAGCAAAGTATTGTAAAATATCTGTAACACCATTAGCTTGACTTTCCAAGCTGCACTAGGTAAAACCAAATCTGTAATATTTAGAAGAAAAGGCCTAAATGACTATCACACCAGTCAGTCACGGACAATTAAAATGGAATTTTCATCACTGCTTTGACAATAACCCCGATGCCTTTGACATTTCAGTTACCGTTTGGCTCCTGAACACCCGTACCCAGGGCAATATTCTGATTGTCTCAATGCCACCTTATACTTCATGAGGCATTTAGAAGAGTATCACGTGGATCCCGCTCTCATCATCATTAGCGGTGACAGCTGTGGAGCTAATTTCGCTACAGTAATTTGCCAAATACTGCTGAATAAAAGAGATCTCCCAAAAGTACGTGCTCAGGTCTTACTTTATCCAGGACTACAGGGGCTAGATTTTCATCTGCCTTCCTACCAGCAGAACGCTTCAGTCCCCATGTTGTTTCGGAAGCTGGTAATCTACTTCTGTTTTCGTTATCTTAATAAAGAACCATCAGTTTTGGAAGATGTCCTACAAAATCGCCACGTTCCTGAGAGTATGAAGCGGAAGTACAAAAAATGGATAAGCGCTGACATTATTCCTGATGAATTTAAGGTTAGAGGCTACGTACCACAGAAATCCACTTCATATAAACCTGAAGTCCATGAAGCAGTCAAAGAAATTTTGGCATTAACGTTTTCCCCTCTTTTAGCTGAAGACTCTGTTATTTGCCAGCTCCCTGAATCCTACATTGTGACCTGTGAGTTTGATGTGCTCCGGGATGATGGGCTGTTATACAAGAAGCGATTAGAGGACAATGGCATTCAAGTCACCTGGTATCATTCTGAGAGTGGTTTCCATGGAATTTTAGCCTTTTTTGGCTATGGGTTTTTTTCCTTTTTATCTGGAAAAAAGATAATGGATAGTACTGTGAATTATATAAACAGTTTGTAAGAGTATTTTTCAGAACAGAGATGCAAGTCTTACATTATCCCTGGCGACCTTATACTTGGCAGAGAATGTAAGCACTTGGATTTTGACTGCACTTACTTTCTAATTTCTCCTTCTGCAGTGACTCCCAAACAAATGTTAAGATTATTGGAAGCACCACTGTTGTGGAAAACGTTATTAAAAAACCCCACCAATATGATTGAGATGCAAAAGCGAGGCACCTGGCACATATCGCCTCACTTCACCTCCAGCAATTCTGGTGTCTTTGCGTGGCTGGCACACGCTCAAGGCAAGCAACAAGAACACCCCTTCCTGAAGATTCTGCGACTGCCCAGAAATGCTGAGGACAACAAGCAGGGCCTGCTGTGAGAGACAGGAGGTGTGGAGGGTATCGGATGGAGAGCCCAGCGACTCCGGTTCTGTGAAGTCTGATGTCAGGCGGTGGAACTGCAGATCTGCATTTTGATTTCTAGGGTTAGTTTGCAGAGAGACTACACGTTTCTTGAAAAAGTGTAGTCAAAAGAAAGGCTTCTGTCTGGAGCTGAAGTTCTGAACTGGAACTAGCATGGCTTTGATTTGGTTGGGAGTCTGACAAATGTTTTGGTTTGGAACTTGATTCTTAAACTGGAATCCCCAAATCTTAATGAGCGTGTACATGTTAAGGAAGTGCAGAGGTGAGACTTCTTTTCCTTTTGATCTGTTCTTCTTTCAAGATTATCCTAATGCCCAAGACTACCTGTTAGGCTGTGTTTGTTGGAAAGCTCAGAACATCACACATGTAAGAAGGCAGAGAAGCACAACATTGTATTATCTTATCACTGTAATGCTGTGGCAATTTTGTGATGCTTTCAACAAAAAAATAAAAACTAACACTTCAAACCTTTCTGTTACAAGAGCAAGTTACATTTGCTAAACAGATACCGGCTGATAAACCTAAATGAACACCTCGGGGTGAAAGGAACAAGGCAGAGGGTGACCACAGTCTCGCTAATCCTACCTAGCCAAACCTGTGCTGCACACAGTAACTGATTTATCAGATGACTGGACTACCCAAGACTATTGTATATGACCACGTAACCATGGAAACGTAACCCAAACTGAACGCCCAGAAACACCACTGGGTGGGCTACTTTGGGCTTTTTAAGCTAGAGTTTTGTTGGTTTTAAACAAAATATTTCCTTCTACTTCAGACTATTTTACAATGACCAGCTGCCCTATTAAAAACACCCAACTGCCCATGGGAAAATATTAAGAAATTTCATGTTTTATAAAGTTTTCTAACTAAAATGACATAGTGCTTTCCCCTCAGCACTTGCAGTTTAACTAAAAAAAAAAAAAAATTGTAACATGGCTGCTACTTGAAGTCAGATTTTTATGTCTCGTGTCTTTCATTTCCCTGGGAATTTGGCGTTTCAACTACGTTTTGACATCCTAGCTGTCTGCAGACCCAGACTCACAATTAACTCTTCAAGCACCATGTAAACTCCAGCATCTCTACATTAGCACAATCCCACCCTACAGCACAAAACAGATGAAGCAGTATGATTCGAAACTCTCTAATTGCTCATTATCTTAAGCCATTTTATGCTCTACCTGCTGCACACTGAGCGTTACGGAAGTTTACCTGGTACAAGGGAACCTGTTCACAAATCTAAACTCAGCCTCCCATGTTGTTTTTTAACCAGACTCTTCCTTTCGAAGCAAGCACAGACATTAAATAGACGGAGGCAATGACAACATTTCATAGGTGCACCTTTCCCAAAAACCACGGGTGACAATCCATTTGGCCCTTCAGAGTGACAGGCATCAGATGCAGGCTCCTACCGCTGCGTAACCCCGGAGAAACTCTCCTTCCGAGCAGTGATTGCAGTGTCACAGCCTCGAAGCACACCAATGCCCCGGTCCATTTTCCACCCCCAGTTAGTTTACTATGAACACAGTTTACTCATTACCCTCATCTCCCAGCTAAGGCCCGGTTCATTCCAAAATGATGCTGGCACAGACCTTTTAAGGACGTCAGGACTTTGACCAACTTATCTTCTGTGAAATCAAGGCAGCGGAGGGGCAGAAAGTGGGAGAGGGAAAGATACCTGCTAATGTATTTGTAAAAGGGAGGAGAAAGGTTTTTACCAGAGCAACCTTACGCCGCACAAAGAATCAGGAAGTTAACAAGCTAAAGATATCTGGGAAAGTCAAATCAAAGACATTTCGGATCACCTCGCTGCTCAGGGAAATGGCAGCTGTATACACACTGCTGGTGTTACTCCTGGCAGTTTTTGTTGCTGGATTTATTCTGCTGGTCATGGGGGCAATTCATTTTGACTTCTCCAACTCGGAAATTCCTCCTGGAGTGAACCAGCCTGTGAAGCTCCGAATCATGCACGTAATTTTAATCAGCAGAGCCGTGGTGGTAAGTTAACCTGGTGTGATTTCTGGGGGAAGAACAGTGAACCTGTAGATTTTAAACTTAATGAATGCTGGGACCCTGCCTGGAATTAATTTTCAGAGGGGAGAGCAGGGCATTGCTATCACGCTGCACGCTGTATTCAGCAGCTCGGGTTTGCTGAAGAAGCCCTGAACGCCTTTTTTTTGCAGTCCTGCCTGGCTCTTGCAGCGGGGCGTTTGGAATTCTGACCGCGCTTCTGCAATGAACTGTGCTACCGATAACTGGATTAAGAGGGCTTATCCATGCTGGATCATTTATATTTCCATTCTAGGCTCAGAATATATCAGACGTCTTTGGGCCAGGCTTTCAAGCTCTCCCTGGACTCAGGGATGCGGAGTTATGTATTTATTTTGAAGATAAAAATTAGAAACTGAACATTCCGGAATGGGTTTTGGGAAGGGGGAGTTTTCAGTATACACGTGACAAAATTAGGTAACATTGCCCAGGAGGAGCTGAAGGAATTCAGCTGTAAAAGGGTGGGAAGGTGTCCAGCCCACAAGAGTTAAAGCTCTGACCGGCACTCAGCTTCTGGGGATCTCTGCTGACAAAGGATCTCACCGAATCCCGAGTATCGCTGTGTAATGACAGATGTGGACGTGCCGTGGTGCGGGAAGGTGTTAGAAATACAGGACACAGAAGTTGTGCACATATTGAATAAATTACCTAAACACCTCCAAGGGAGACAAACTATTGAAAATGGGGGGAAAAAAAAAATCTCTGTCAGAAATCTTCTAGAGTATAATGGATCACAGTAAAGAATTTTCTGTATACATGCTCATGCTCTGGCTGCACAGAAGCTGTAATAGATGGAGATTACTTCCCTGCAGCAGCTGGGAAAGCCAGCTCTCTTTTATCACCTATACACTGCCCATTGGTACCATAAACCAGAACCGTACGCTGCAATGTAAACAACGCCGGACAAAAGAACCCGAACAAGGTGAATGTGAAGGAGAGAACACTCTTTGTATTTGTTCTATTTCTGCTTGGAAAATGGCAAATACAAAAGAGTAAATCACTTTATCATCATACAGAGACACGAAGACTAGTGTCTAATGAATGTTGCAAAGTGTATTCGCCTCTTCAGCCTCAAAATCAGGCACAGTGATAAACAGCTGGAGGCACTGAAGATAAGGTCTGTCGTAGGTAAATACCTCGGGAGCTGTAACACCGTGCTGACGATCCGTACAAATGTGGCAGCCTAAGGAGCAACGGCGATATAAAGAGCTTGATCCAAATCGTCGTAAGGACCGAAGTACCGGTTTGGCATGACTAAACGACATATTGCGAAACAGAGGTTATGACACATTTTTTTTGGTCTTTGCAAAGTTACGCTGGACTATTCTCTCTGCCTTTAAACAGGGAAAGATTCTGGAGAACATTGGCATCTGCAGTCAGGTCAGCTTCGTCCGGTACCTGCAAGGTAGAAAGACCCTAGGCGCGGACCCGAAGCTCTTCATCAAGGACCTGTGCTTTGAGCAAGTGCCTGTAAGGGTTTACCAGCCTAAGGCTCCAGCTGCCAGCCAAAGGAGGGGAGTTGTGTTTTTCCACGGAGGAGGATGGATGTTTGGAAGTCTTGGTAAGACAGAAAAAATTACTGTAATTTAGTTAAATCTATGTCATAAAAGGTAGCATCTGTAGCAGTTACAAAGTTCAAGCATAACCACAGATGCGCTCTCCTAAGCCCTGCTGTCAGAAGAAAGCATCTGCTGTGCAACAGGTGCGTCCTCCTTAACAACAAGAACAATGAGATATGAGGGGAAAAAATACAGCCAGCAAATACTGAAACAGGAGGATGAGGGGGTACAAGAGATCTGAGGAGCTGTGCAGGAAGGGACAGAGAAGGGAGTGTTTTCTTCTTGCAATTCTTTGGCTTACGCAACAGACAACATCGGTCTGGAAACAAACCAAAGCCAAACCCCACCAAATATCTTTCTTTCAGAGACCCATGAAAAGCTGTGCCGCTTCATTGCCAGAGAAAGCCAGTCAGTGGTTGTCTCTGTTGGGTGAGTCTTCTCTCCTGCTGTTATTTCCCTTAAAAACATCACCTTACAGCTTCCCTGACCACAGTAACAACTACCCTCAGTTTCTGTGCGACCCGTCAACCAGTGTTTTCAAATTCTAAACTCAAAATTGTTAGTACACAGACAGTAAACCATATATTCTACTTAGTCCTTATGCAAGGCAACTCTGCTTGGTGCTTAGAGAAGCACCACGGGACGTCATGATGAGGATTATGAGGATACAGCTGCACTGTAACAAAGACATAAACAGGAGCATTGCCATATGCATCTGTCACGTGGAAAGCCAAAGCATAAACCGATTAAACGACTGTCAGTAAAACCTAGACAGGGTTGGCAGCTGGGCACTCCCGTGTTGGTAAACACCTGAGAAACATCCTAAACAGACAATATCCTAACCAGTTCATCTGCACCACCTGGTCCAACAAGGCGCAGTTTATTCCTGACAGCCTGTGGAGAAAGGGAAAATTCTGGGGTAATCAGGGTATTGCTGGTTGCAGGAACCAATATTTTCAGCAATACATTTAAAACTGGTATTTCCCTCTCCGACTTTTGTTGTCTCCTGTTGTGTCCTAGGTATCGTTTGGCTCCTGAACACAAATACCCTGCGGCCTATGAAGACTGTCTTAACGCCACCATACACTTCATGAAGAACACAGAGCACTATGGGGTGGATCCTGCCCGTCTAATTGTCTGCGGGGCCAGCGCTGGGGGCAATCTAGCAGCTGCTGTCAGCCAGACCCTGGCAGGTAGATCAGACCTCCCCAAACTGCGTGCTCAGGTCTTGATCCAGTCTCTGTGCTTAAATTTCCCATCCTATCAGCAGAATCGAGGAGTCCCTCTCTTATTCCGAGAACGTGCCGCCTTCTATGTGTTACAGTACCTGAATGGGGATGCATGCAAACTGGAAGAGGTCTTGGAGGGTTCTCATATTCCTATAGATCTTAAATTAAATTATAGGAAGTGGGTGAGTCCAGATAACATCCCCGAAAAATTTAAGGTCAGAGGCTACAAACCCCATGTGCTACTTGACTGTACAACTGAAGCGTATGAGAGGGTGAAAAGGTTCTGTGAGCCCAACCTGTGCCCGCTGTTGGCCGAAGATGCTGTTGTGCAGCAGGTGCCCGAGTCTTTCATCCTGACCTGTGAGTACGATGTGCTGAGGGACTCTACAAGAAGCGGCTGTAGGACAACGGTGTTCGAGTGACCTGGTACCACCTCGAGGATGGATTCCATGGAATCCTAAATTCATTTAGTAGTGACTGGTTGTCATTTCCATCTGGGAAAAGGGGTCTGGACAGTATCGTGAACTTCCTAAAAAGCTTATAGAAAGAATTTTCTTTACAACTGCCTGTTTTCTGTGGTCTTTTATGCTTCTAAATTCCATGTAAGAGGTTTAGGTAGGACTGTCTGTCAATGAGCAAATATGCCAGTGTGACCACTGGAAAAAGATACTCCAAGAATGCTATGAAAGTTTCCTTTCGTGCTGTTTGAAGTCTCCCATGTGCACTCTGCCTATTTTAATGATCTTTTTGGATAAGGCACTCGCTACTCTCAGTAAATATTAAAGATGCAGTAAGATCTTAAATCAACATTTGGTCTGACCTATTTTATTCAATCATGATCTACGGTTTCATTCTTCCTGGAAGGGTAAGGGTGTTTTGGCACAGGAGAAAGACACATATGTTGCCACGCTGTAAGGCAGTCCCTGTGCTATATGCTACACGCAGCATCCGCCTCCCAGATTCCCAGCCCCCAACACGCAGAAAATTCCTCTGGGCTGGGTAACGGCTAATTTAGATGGGAAGAAATTAAGTCAAAACTGCAACTGTCCCCAGCAGAGATGTTCCACTAACAGCTCTGTGTAAATCACAGTGCAGGCAATGCTCTAAGTGTTTTCCTACGGTTATCAAACACACATGTATGCTGAAAAACTTGTTCCTGTGTCTAAATACTCTAATAACAAAATCAGATTGATGCATTTCCTTCTGTACCTATGTCAGCTTTTTCCCCTCGCATTACTTCCCTTTTTTCTTTTTCTAAATGCTGTTGTTAAAACTATGTATTCCAAACTACTTCAAGAATGTCCACAATACAGGAAGCACTATGTTGTGGCTGCAGGTCAGATGCAAGAGACAATTTAAACTCCACAGCAGTTGGCTCTCCTTGTCAACAGAAACCTGTCACAAACTAGAACTCCACTCCAAACTTAACTGCACTCTCTGCACAGTCGTTCATATCATCCATAGTACACAAATACCCGGCAGAATACCCGGCCCTGTACCAGTCCCACAGTTACCAAGAAGCTAAACAGGAAATCAAACACATTCACCTCTGCCTCTTCTCCAACGCAACGCGTGCTGGCACCTTGCACAACATTCCCAAGGACTTTAAAGTGTGTGGCACACAAGACATCCGCTGTAACGTGGACTGCTCTACTGTAATCTGAGAAAGCTAAATCAAAGCTAGGCGTAAAGACACCTCACCTCCGGTTAAATGGCATTTTTTTATATACTGCTATTGCTGCTGCTGGTGATTTTTACTGCTTCATTCATACTGGCACTCATAGAAACATTCCGGTCTGAGTATTCCAATTTCAATATCCCTCCTGGAGTGAATCATCCCGGAAAGCTTCGAATTGTCCTTGCTTCTATGATTAGTACATCTGCGATGGTGAGTTACCCTGCCACGATTTCTGCCAGAAATGTGGTTTCGGTGTTATTTCTCTAAGGTTGTATGTGTAAATACCAGAATCCTGCCAGCTGCATTAAGACTTAAATTAAGGCTTTTCTGAGGGGGAGGGGTGGGGCTGACTTCAGAGGATAATTTTTGCGAAACATCCCCGTTGGACCTGGGATATTTTCAGTCAGGTTTTCCCTATTACACAGGGATGAAGCCCACCGTAACAGCCCACGCTTTATCCGCCGAGCTTCCCTGACTCAGTTTAAATATTTTTAAAAAGCGAGATTGCTTTGATTTCCATTTTAGCTCAGCACGGATGAGGATTTTAGGCCATTTTGGGGGGCTTTCCATCATCACGGCTGGAAGGCCGGGTGCTTTCTAAGCAGGTAACATTGGACACCCAAGGAAACCTTAGAGGAAGGACATCTCAGGTGGTGGGAGGCTGGTCCGAAACCGCAGGCCGTGGTGGGGCTGAGGAGAAAATGCCTGTTTTTCCTCCCCTGCTGCCTGACAAGAGGGCGAGCTGGACGCGTGGGCCTACCTGCTCAGGCGCACGGTGCCAACGCCACCCCGC